CAGTGTTAACTTCATTTGTCTTTCAGTTCCAGATACCATATAACAGGTTTTGTCCTCCTATCAGGCTGATTTTAACATCAATGTTTCTGGGGTAAATGAAGAAACACATATAAGATGTGAGGACCTCGTGGACTTTTCTGATATTTGCCACTCTAATGAAGAATATTTCAGGAAACTAGAGGAGCTGAAGGCTGCCCACATGGAAACTATGGCAAAGTTGGAGAAAATGTACCATAATAAATTAAATTTAAAGGAAGTTCAGCCAATGATCATCAGGGAAGAACCTTCTAGTGTCTCTTCTGCGTAAGTTTGTACATAATGTTATTTGTGGACTGTAAAATAAAATGTATACTTAAAAGTGTAGAACAAAATTATTTCAGAATATTTTCTCTCAAATATCCCTTTGTACTTTTAATGATATATGGAGATGGGATTTTATTTAAAATGTTTAATGAGTTCTTGTTTTGAGGGTCATTTGGTGGCTATTTGTTCTTTTCTCTCTGACCTATGATTCATAGAACTGCAGACATCATCAGAATATTTATTCTGGGCCATTTTTTTTTTTTTTTTTTTTTTTTGATGAGAACTTAACCAAGAGGAAAGGGAACTCAGAGAGCAAAAGGGCGAAGTTAGTTTTCATCGAACCGCTGTTGCTCAGAGCTCAAACTCTTGAGCGAGCTCTTAACCAACTGAGCCACTCAGCCGGCCCTATTCTGGGCCATTTTTAATGAATATTAAAATTTAATTTTAAAAGCCCTTTATAATATGTGGATTAACATTGGCTCATTAAAGATATTGTACAAAGGGCTCAGGACTGAGACATAAATCTGATTCAAGTTTTCAAAATAGTCTGTAATTTCAAGACCCATTTCTGCTGTAAAGTCACTGATTTTGAAACTTGAGGCAAGTCTTTTAATTCATCCAGTTGGTCAGCACTGATTGAGCATCTCCTGTGTGCCAGAGCTTGCCTGGACGCTGAGGAGTCAAAATCAAGGTGCCCTCAAGGAACTCAGAGACTAGCTGAGAACCAAAAATTGTAATAAACATGATGTAACAGTGTTATGCAGACAGAGGAAGAAGCAGTTCATCATGTCAAGGTGTCAGTGGAGGGACACAGCAGGAATTTCCTACTGAAGTGTCATATCTGAGTTCAGTCTTGAAGGAGGAATGGCTGCAGCAGATGCAGAAAGCAAGGAGTGGCCTTCTAGGCAGCAGAAACCACGTGTGCAAAGGCATGGCAGCATGAGAAATCATGGTGTGTGTGAGGAACTTGACGTGACTTACGAATATGACTTACGAATGGTGACTAGGGATAGGGATAGGCAAGGGGTGGAACTGGAAAGGTAGGTAGAGTCTGATTTTGAAGGGGTTTATAATCTATACTTGACTTCATAACAATGACAAATCATGGAAAAGTTTTAAGAAAGGGAGTGACATGATCAGATGTTTGTTTTAAGATGGTGACTCTGGAAAACGTGTGGAGAATTCAATAGAGGTTAGAGACACAAGGAACCTCAGCTGTCAGGTTCCTCCCCTATAAAATGAGGGTGTTGAATTAAGATATTTTATAGGCATCTTCCAGGTCTATTCTAAATAAAAGTAATAATTTTTACAAGCCCTGTCCAGCTCCTGTCTTCTAACTGATTATACCTTGATCTAAGAAAATATATAATTCTTAATTTTTATATTTGGTCACATACAACTAAAAGTGTATCCTAATCTTCTCACTTAGGTCTGTATCAGAAAAGAACTCCTATGACCATGTCTCCTTAACGACATCACTTTCAGAGCCTGATTTGGGTCATTCTTACTCCTTGATTATGAGTTCCTCTGAAGATGAGTTGCCCAAATTAGAAAAGGAATATCCTGAGAAAAAGAGAATGATGACCTATGCTAAGGAGCTCATCAACAACATGTGGACAAACTTTTCTGTTAGAGATTATATTCAATGTGAAGATGGTGACTTCCCGGCAGTTGAAAAAACAAAGAAGAAACCAAAAGAATGGGTGCCAAAGATTACAGTGCCTGAGCCTTTCCAAATGATGATTAGAGAACAGAAGAAAAAAGAAGAGAACATGAAATCTAAGTCAGATATTGAAAAGGCACTCAAACTACTCAAAAAACAGGAAGAAGATTCAGAGTGTAAGAAAAAATTCCGAGCCAATCCAGTTCCAGCATTTGTCTTTCTCCCTCTTTATCATGACATAGTCAAGCAAAATGAAGAACGGAGGAGGACTATGAAGGAGAAAAACAAGCAGGCGCTTTTGGCCTCACAAAAACCATTTAAGTTTATCGCAAGGGAGGAACAGAAGCAAACAATCCGGGAAAAGGAACTGAGAGACTTTTTTAAGTCTAAAAAGAAAACAAATCGATTTAAAGCCAGACCTATACCTCGATCTACTTACAGTTCAACTACCAGTGAGAGGTTAAAAGAAGAAGAGCTCTGTGGAAACATTACAGCACAGCTGAGAGCCCAGGAGCTTTTAGCAAATTCATCTCCTCTGCCTTGTAGACCAACTTGCAGAAGTTTTGCTGCAAGGAAGCCCAAATGTTCTGAACAGGCTGAAAAGTTGAAGTGTAAACAGAAGGTCAGGTGCCAAACTGCTGATTTTGGAGAACTTCATGAGAGATGTGAGAAACACCCCTCAGAAGAGAAGTGTCCAAAACTCCTCACAGCCTGTAAACCACCTGATCTTCATGCAGTGTCACATGCAGGCACTAAAAGAGAGAAAATTCTGGCAGACATTGAAGCAGATGAAGAAAATTTAAAAGAAACACGTTGGCCTTATCTGTCTCCAAGGCACAAGTCATCAGTAAGAAGTGCAAGTGCAAAGCGTGTGCCTTGTAACTGCAGCCCTCCGATGCCCACAGTATCTTCTAGAGGAAGAGAACAAGCCACAAGGTAAATAGCTAGCTGACAGTACTGACTTATGGTTGCTAAAATAGTGTATGCAGCGNCTCAAACCAACAGCAGCTTAAAGAGGTGGGGGAATGTGGGGGATTTTGCAGGTGCTCACTCTCCAGACCTGCTAACAAGAAAGGCTTGGTAAGAAGGGCTCAGACCTTAGAGTTGGGTTCTAGACAGCACATGCTGCATACTCTAAATTTATGGTGGTGATGGCCCATAGCTGGTTGTGGAGCTGGAGGTAGGAGGAGGCTGGACAACAGACAGGGAAAGTTACGGCAGCCTCAGCCTCAGGTAGTTGGGTTTTAGGTAGCAGGTGGCTGAGACTGCACCAAATCTGCTATTTTCAGGTTAGGCCTCTCTTAACAGCCACGTGGCTTAGAAGGAAGGTGCCGTTTGAAGCGCCCAAATCTCGAGTGGGGAATGTTGATGGGGTGAAGTGGAGATGAGGTGTGTCTGTGGTTACTGTTGGGAGCACGCTACTTCCAACACCACCACAACGAAGTTATTTAACACAAGCAGCAAACACCGGGTTTATACACCTGCACTGTCACTCACTGGTGGGTAGGCTAGGCTCCACCCAGCTCTGGGCTTTTATTGGTCAGACCAAGAAAAAAAAATCGCGTACCTAACAGCCTTCTTTGGATTGGTCGGTTTCTGGTAGCTCTCCAGTCAATCAAAGTAAAATACCGCACTCCTTTCCATTCTCTGGCTCCGGGGGAAGCCATGTTAGGTAACAGGATGCAAATCTTGCCACTGTTCTGAGACCGCCACACAATAATATCCCCTGCTTTCCTCTGACGCCGCCGTCTCCTTTTAACATGTTATTTCAATGAATGAAAATGCGCTTTTTTCTTTATTCATAGAACGAGTTTCATTAGTATAATGTGAGAAGTCTGCGTTTAGGCGGCGAGGCGCGAAGCTGGGGAAGAGATGCCCTGTTCTGCCTGCCAACCATCTAATAAACCAGCAGAGACTCAGTACTGACTCCCATTATCCAGGAAGCACCCGCCTTGCGTCTCCCGCAGCGTGCGAGGATTTTCAGTGACTTTTGGCCCCTCGCGGCCCTTGTAGCGTCCTTAGTTACGGTGCCCCTAGTAACCGCCCACCCCAAGCAGGGAGCCGTCGGGTAGCCTGAGGCTGCACCAGCTTCCCAGCCCCGGGCCAGCGCGGGCGCTCAGGCCTCGGCGGCGAGCTGATGGCCGCCTCGCACCCAGCGGCGAAGCTGGAGTCCTCCAGCCTCCAAACTCCGGTAAATCCCAACACCACAGCGCAGGTCGCTCAGTACCAACGCGAAGACCCCTTAGAGACACAGGCGGCTGCGGCGGCGGCCTTGGAGGAGGAGGAGGAGGAACAGGAAGAGCAGGAGGAGGCGGTGCGGCCGGCGCGGGCGCTGGTAAGGTAGGGGCGGGACGTGGGCTGGGGCTGGGCGCTGGCTGGCTGGCTGCAGGCCGGTCCGCGTCTGGGCTGAGCGACGTGCTGGGAAACGCGGCGCCCTCCCTACCGGGTAATCCTGGCCCACCACCTTCTTTCTGTCCCTCACGAAAATCCCTCAAAACCGAGGCGTTGGAAAGCCTTTTAATTTTCACCACAGAGATTGTTGTAAAATTTTCTTGGAGAGCATTTACTTTACTCCATTTAGACTAGAGAATGCAAAGTACAGAACCTTACTCCTTATGCTCCAGCATCGGTCAGAAGTAGATACTCCCTTTTCTTTTTAACTTGGGGGAGCCTAATCTACCCCATATAGGATAACCCATAAAACTCAGGTGAATCAACTGTTCTGTTAGAGGTGTGTTTTGTTGTCACCTTAAGGTCTTGGTTATTAGAGCATCTTAACACGATACATAAGAGGCAATATTTAAAACCATCAAGAGTTCAGTGGTTAGATCGGACACAGATACAGTAGTTAAGTATCCAGAGAAGCAAATTACTGAGGACCAATTTTCCTAAATGGCTCTTCAGGGTGGGGTGAGATAGCCTTTTCACGGATCACTTTTCAGTGTCACATGTGTCCTGAACACCTGTTCACCAGGTGTAGGGCCGAGTCTGCCATCTGCTCTATTCCCTTAAAATATAGAAACATTGAATTTTAACTATCTATCTGCAGCTCTAAATCTCCTTACCCCCAGTTAAAGATTCTTAATACTATTTACCCAAGCCTCTCGGATACAAAACATTGTGGCCTAGGGCTAGTAGAAATCAGTGGTTATTTTGGAATTCTAATCTCTTTAAACTACACTAAAACTGCTAATCAGAAAATCTGTAGCAACATCTTTTACGGGCAGCATTTCACCAACAGATGTTAACTACTTGAGGTTATCCAGAGTAAGGCAGATTGAGACCCTGAACATGAACCAGAGTGAGTCCTGGGGCTATTTCCATTCATGATAAAGCTTTCCCTCAACACAAGTTTCAGTAGCCAACAAAAGAGACAAAGTGATGGAGGGAAAAGATTTGAATGGAGGAGAAGGATTTGGTCCTGATTATGACTCATTCTCTGCCATTTGCTAGATGATATTAAGATATAATTTCCTTCGATTTCAGTTTCCGTATCTGTAAAAGAACTATAATAATTGTCTCTCTTTTTTGCCTCACTGGGATGTTATGAGAACCAAATGAGTGAATGTATCATATCTAAATAACAGTTTGTATAAATTAGTAATAATAATAACTACTGCCAGTGAGACTGTCATTTGAACAACCTGCCCAAAGATTAAATTCTACTTTGGATTGCTGTGGTAGAGGAGTCAGTCATTTCCATAGTTGCAGTGTACTTCCAGAATGCCTTGTTAAACTGCAAATTTGTATTAGAAACTTAATTACCTTAAGAGAGATTAGTTTCAAAGGGACAGGATCCTATCCCCTACTCCCCTACCTCCAAAAGGAAGTTAAGTCCTATAAATTTGACACTGTTCTGAGACCACTACACTTGAAGGACCCAAAAGCAAACCTGGACAATCTGCTACTTATTGCCTGATAGCCAGAGGACACTGGCGTGGGGGAAAAAAAGCACTGAAAAGGCAGGAAAGAGTGCGGAAGCCAAGCTGGCTTCCGTCTGCACCTTGATTTTTAAAGATTAACTTGGCTCATCTATAAAATATAGTAAACTCAGATACCATACCCACCACACAAGACTGACTAGAGAACCAAATGTCATAGTAGGCCTCTTTCAGTTCTTTGGTTTGCCAATCGCCCCGCCCCCACCCCTTGCAAAACTGCCCATATTGGGCACTGAGGCATGTTTCTTGAACCTAGCCTCAGTTGGAGATATCAGTTCATAGGCTTGTTATGTGGTTGATGATGACATGGGTATAGCAGTATTCTGTAATCCACAGTTAAAATTTCAGTGACTTTTCTAATGGGGTGGCCTTCTTTTTTTTCATCAAATATTGAGCTTTTATTAAGTGCTAGTTACTGACTCTTCAGTGGTGAATGAAGCAGACATAGTTTACATCATCACAGTGCTTCCAATCTGGTGGGGAGGTTAGATAATAAAAAAAATGAACAGTCAATGAACATAAGATGGTAAATGTTGGGAAAGAAATGAACAGGTTATTATAATTTTTTTTAAAAGTAGGAGGGAACCTATTTAAATGAGTTAACCTTTAAGTCGATGTCTCATAAATGAAAAAAAGTAGCCATTTGAAGAGTGGGGGTGGGAAAAGCATTCCAGGCAGAGGGAACAGCATATGCAGAGGCCCTAAGATAGGAAGAGGAAGAACTTTGTATGATTAAGGATCTGAAAGAAAGCCAGCAAGACTGGAAAAGAGAGATGGGAAGAAAAGGAGAGGGGAGAAATTAGGTTGGAGAGGTAAGCAGAGCCTGATCATGCAGGGCCTTATAGACCTAGGTAAGGAGTTGAGTGTTTATTGAAGGTGCAATGGGTGGTCCTTTAATACTTTTAAGAGATCTGACATGTTTCTATTCATATTTTAAAAGGAGGACTCTCTGGCTTTGTGGAGAATGATTGGTGGGTTTGACAAAGCAGAAGTAAGGTAGAGAAAAAGGAGACAAAAGAGATTAAGGACATAAAAGAGAGAGAGAGAAATTAAGAGAGAGATTAAGGACCAGCTACAGTGGTAGAAGGATTATCATAGAAGTGTGGAAGTCCCCTATGCATTGGTTTTAATGATGACAGAAAGGGTCAAATGCTGTTAAGAGAAGGTACATTTCACCCCTGAAGCAGGAAGAAAGGAGAAAAGAGGCACAAAAGCAGGTAGTTTTATGGATGGGAAGAGGAGGGAACTTCCCTCTCATGGTTTCTATTTTCTTAAATAAAAGAGTTATAGTGGGCATTTGGGGGGTGGGGCGGGAGCAGGTAGAAGAGCAAGGAAAAGGTAAGCTGTATTACTGGGGGCTGAGAGCCACCTTCCAGAAGGAACATGAGAGGTGCAAGGCAGACCAAATAGTCATTAAAAATTGTTCAGTTTTAATTTAGTATTAATATTCACAAAACATTTTTTCTTTTTTTTTTAAGTTATATTTTAATTATGGGAGTAATACATGAACACATTCTCCTTTTAAAATTTCAAATGTTACAAATAAAGCTTAGGCCCTTTTAACATCTCTCTCCACAAAAAGAAAGTCTGGTCCCTCCTCACCCCCATCGGTAGCCACTGTTTTGAAATTAATATATATTCCTTTGGGCTTTTTTCTGTCTCCTGTGTACATGATTTAATATATGGCAGCATTTTATATATACATATGATTCTGCAGCTTGCTTTTTTCTGTTATCATTTATTGAGGGTTTACCCATGTTAGCACATGTAGATCTGCCTCATTCCTTACAAATCTTTTCAATGCAAAAAAAAATTTCTAGGGCTGGCTGAGTGACTCAGTTGGTTAAAAGCTCGCTCAAGGGTACAAGCTCTGAGCAACAGCAGTTCGATTCCCAGCCTGAGCTGAGCTGCCACTGAGCTGCCAACAGGTGGCAGGATGGCTCAGCTAAAAAAAAAAAAATTCTAACAAAAATTTCAGAATTGTAGATGATACTA